ACATAAATTTTATATACTACTGCATACCCTCTATAATGTGAATTAATACTAGTAAAGTCATATGACCGCAATAACAAATTGCATTTACATAATACTTAAGTATTTATTTATATTATAAAAATAAAAGAATAACAATTTATTTTTTTTTAATAAATTTTTCTTCTCCAAAAATCTAAAAAAAATGGTAAAAACTAAAGAATTAAATGCAATGATTTTTTAAGCGAAAAATAATTTTTATACATTATCTTAGCTAGCTCAAAGTTCTGATCTTAATTCAATTGAGAATCTTTAGGCTAAAGTCAAGAAAAACATCTGAGCTTATAAAAAACCTTTATCTAATTTGACAGATATGTTAAAAAGGCTTGGTAAGAAATTCAGAAGCATACTATCGAAACTTAGTTGATAGTATACTGCAATAAATTTAAGCTGTAATTACAGCAAATAGTAACACAACTAAATACTAGTTACTTAATACAAAATGTAGATCTTATCAGCTTTAAATAAAATATTAATTGACTGTTTATTGTTAATGCAAAAAAATTATAAGTTTTATATTAAGTGAAAAGATGTGTAGATACTTTTGTTCACCTTCTGTAGTTAGCATAAAGTAAAATCGTACTAATTAGTTTAGAAAAAGATTTGCAATAGGCTTATTTTTTTATTAACCACTACTAATAAACTTCTTTTTGATACAATGTTTTAGATACAATATGAAATGAAAGAAAAATATCTTCTTAATATTAGCAATTCATGTAAAGGCAGAATCAAAAGCCTTTCTTCTTTCTAATACATATATCCTCTAAGTAGTAATTTACGATATACTGATCTATTTATAATTATCATGCGATTAGTTTTAGAATTATAGATATTTTTGCGATTCCTATTTGCCAATTGGTCTAATATGTCTATAGTGTTAATATAAAAAGTCATTTATGACTTATTTTAATACTGAATAATTTAAATACACATTTTATTATAAAATTAAAAGTGAAAAAGGTTTTTATATCCTAAAATACTTATATGGATCATATTACTTGCCAGTATATTAAGAAAAATAGTTCTATTTGTAGAAAATCTGTACTCATACTACTGGTTATTTAAAATACTAGAAATTATATGAAAGAAATATAGAAAAAAGATTATGCCTATTTGGTAGATTTCCTACTGATGCTGATTCAGGATATTACGTTAAATATTGTTTCAAATATTCTACAAAGTATCATATAATAAATTATTAAATAAGACAAAAGTATAGGGCTGAGGTTCTTCAATTTGAAATTCTCTTTGAATTATCTGCTAAGGAGTAAGCAAAAAAATACTACTAGATATTATCAGATGAAAGTCTTGCTAGTTTATCACTTTAATGTCTTCTCAAATAATAGTATTATTTTCTTACCACTTATTTGAGGCTCTAAGGGGATCCACTTTACAAATCTAGAGAAGGAATATATTTTGAGAATAAGTCTTTTGCGTAATCTATTATATAAATATTAGCAGAAGACTTATCTTTGAATATATGAGTTATTTTTATGAAGTCTAGTAGTATATCCAGATTGTTTTATAATGAAATCTGCTTACATAATATCAAATAAGTCTTGAATATTATTCATAATTGATATAATATTCACATTAGAACTGGAACTATCTTTAGTCTGCTTATTCTTTAAAAGATTTTCCATTAATAATTCATCAGATAGAAGTTTACTATACCTATATTGAGTATCTTCTCTATTTTCCTAATAAATTTCTTTACCCGTTTGATATGAAGGTAACTCAGAAACGTTTTTGCTATTAAATGATCTAACTAAATAGTAATATTTGAGATTCTTATCTATAGTCTTGAATTTCAGCTTATAAGTTACATAAAGTGTTAAATTTAATAAATCAAGTTTTACCTAATCTGTTTTCAATCCTGATTTTTTAGCTTTGCGTGATGCATGCATCCATATTATCAAATACCTGAAACATTTTAAAAATTAAATCATAGAGATATAGTAATGACTTAGGAGAATTTAGACACATTTTAATATCATCAGATTTATACCTGACTCTATCATCGATATCTCTAGCTATTATATAAATTCTTAATAATTCTAAGCATATTTGATGCCTCTTAGCTTGAGTTATAATTGTAAGCCTATCTTCTCTATAATTTTTACAGGAAATAGTCTTAACAGCTATTTTATTATTAGTATCCGCATTTCATAATTGCTTATAAGCTCTGAACTATCTTATATAATTACAATTCTTATACTTCAAAATGAAATTTTTGGTCAATAATTCAGGCAAAATCTCATAATATTCTATGATATTGTATCAGTCTAGAGAACATATTTCTTCTAAGATCTTCTTTGACGTATTCTCCAAAAATTCAGCAGTCTCATGATTAATAATTGTAGTATTAAATATATTTAATATTTTCTTTGCTTTAACAATAAAAGAATTTACTTTCATAACTTGAGATAATGATACAACGTTTTCTTCAGACTTAGGAATGGGTTCTATAATAAAAATTATCATACCTACCTCTCTAAAAAAATTGACTATTCTCTAACCAAATAAGTACCAGAAATAGAATTTTTTTAACATATAGGCCATTCATAAACAAATAGTTAGTACGTTCTTATTCTAATGATAGAATCTATATCTAAAAATGTTCTTCAATTCTAAAGTTCCTGTAGAAGATATTCATATTTGATATTTAACCACTATTAAAATAATTCTTTCTCTGTAACTAGAACATTAGAAGATTTTTGCTTAATACAATACACATAATTCCTAATACACTGTATGCAAAATAACATCTGATTCATTCTAGTATTTATTTCTATATAACTGTTAAAGATGCAAAATACTCGTTCAAACTTAGGATTAGTGTAAGATACTCTTATCTTTAGAGTACTAGTATAGGCAACTAGATCTACGTCTTTCTATAATTCTTCTACGTTGCTGAAGTCATAAGCCTTTTATATCTGATCAGATTTACTATAATATTCCTTGATCCATAATTCTAAAAAATCAGTTTTGAGAGTATGAATAATTCCTTGCATGTCTTTTCTAAAGTAACAGATAAGTAATATATTTGTTCGTTTCTCGGAAGATAATGAAGATATTTGTCTAGCCCAATCCTAAAGTTCGGCTAGCACAGTTTCTTTATTAGAAGCCAAGTGAAATGTCTTACCTTTTTAAGGTTGATAAGTATTATGAATAATAGAGAATAATTTATTCTTACGAAAAACCTTAATCTATTCCTATATTTAGATCAGTGAGATTATTATCCATGATGATAATGCGTCTTGCATCTTGAATCAATCTATATAACTTTTTTATTGATTGTCTGACCAAATGATTTTATATCTGAACAATTATAGATACTATTTCATTAAACCATAAATCGTATTAGCTCAGAGAATATTTGCATTTTTTACTACATTTACAATTATTAGTAATATAGTGTAAACTCTCTATCTAGCATACTATCCTTTTATAATCAGGTAGATTTATATTATCATCAATATCATAATATGATTTGAGATTGAATCTTATAGTAACAGCATTTAAGTAAGAGTAGTACATAAATAATACTAGTAAATTCATATCATCAGATATAGTAAGATGTTTAAGAACATATATTTTTCCAGTTTCCAAGGTAAACTTATATAAATATCACCTTCATTAGGTAATAGTCTTACATATCTTTCCTCATATATTTCTGTCGCCATAAGTATTTCATCACATTTAGCCTAAGATGGCATTTTTATGAAAGCTTTTAGGAAACTTGAGCTTTTTATCTTACGAATATTAAGCGCTAAAGATATATTTATTTTTTTGCTGAATTATTTTCGCAATAGATGGGTTGCATTCAAATATTTCACCAGATTTATCACTACTTTGCTGAAAGTATTTTACTATGAATACTCCACTATTAGCACATACATGACTGAACTATTACTGATTCTTGTCATATATACATTTACATAGTAGATATTCTAGTAGAGCTTTTCAGTTAAAATATATGAAGTTTTGCAAATAATTTTCTTTGATATTTTAATCCTTAAGATAGTTAGAATGCTTTTATAAAACTAGGTCTACACATTTTTGTAATACATCTTGACTCACAATTATTCTTAGTAAATTGTTATTTTTTTCTATACTAAGTAATCAGGATCTTACTTCAAACCTTAAGCTAATAGGTGACTGAACTCTAATATGATTGAGGTCATTCCACCTATTATTTAGTGAGAATTGAAGAATATACTTTACATAACTTTTTTTTGCTAAACTGATAAAGCAAAGATGAAAATTCTGACTAGATAATCCTCAATTAATATACTTACTAAACTTCTTCCTGGTTAGGGGCATGCCAGAAATTAGCTGATTTCACTTTATTATAAAGCTAACCCCTCACCCTCACCTGATAATCAATTTTGATTGGCTAAAAAAAATTATATATAAAATAGTTAAATTAGAATAGTTAAATAGTAAGTAGTCAAATAAATAAAAATAAAATTAATAAATAAAGTTATCATTCGATCTATAAGTTCCTTTTGCTATTATTCTAAAATTAATATAAAAGAATTAAGACGCGATTTATTTGTATAACAATTATTTATATTATGCATTAAGATGATAATTAATGCAATATAATATGTATGAAATCCTTAGAAAATCCATAAAAAAAAACACGAAAATGTGCTCTTATATTCTTCTTTGCATTCTTTTTATTCAAACTAATATGCAAAGTTTTTTGAAAGCACCAAACTTTAACAAAAACTTTTTTTATAAGTAACCCTAAGATAAATATCAAGAATTTTGCAATGCATATGCATATTACAAACAAGTAATACTTTGTGACCCTAAGCTAATTCGTCAAAGAATAATGCAAGAATGTGTAGCAGCTTAGAAGGAAATTAAAAAAATGATACTGCCTTTATTGAAAATAAATTCGGGAATATTATGACATTACACCTTCCACTATTCACTCTCATCAAAGAATTTCTATGTCACGTGATTCAACTAACAATTCTCATCAAACCTTCACTCCATCCACTCTATCCACTCCAAGACAGTTTGTTGACACTTCAACAATACTACCAAATGCCAAATTACAACATATTGCAGCTGAAAAGATCAATTCAGCTGCAAAAAGCCTAGCTGAATATCAACGAATGATAGAGATCACTACAGATGACTCAATAAAAGTTTTGTTATCATCTAAGATAATTGAAGAACAAAAAAATATATCAATACAACATGCACAGCTAACAAAGCTGAAACGTCATGCTGAAGCTCAATCAAGGCTAGCAGCAAAAAAACAGAAATTGCTAGAAGAGGGTATTGTAGAAAAATATGATACTCCAGGAAGACCATCCACAGCTATAAAAGATCCAGATCTATGGGATAAAATCCATGACAGTGTTGAATTTGGAGTTGCTCATGCTAAACAAAAAAAAAGTGATCATAAAAGTTAGGACTGTGAAGCATTTACGCGAAACTCTAGAAGAAAAATATAATACTTATCTATCTCATCAATGCTTATCAATTTATCTTCAACCCTGAAACTAGTGCACTTTTGCTGCACGTCATCATTATCATCCAACAAAGGCTGATCTTGCTTCTGTATCATGGACAGAAATGAAACCTCATATTGATGAACATTACTGTCTAGCTTCCGTCAAAGTCACAAAAGTATTTGCTGAAGTTTTTGCTGATGAGGCAATTATCATCTTCCAGGATGATAAGGCAAAGGTTGAATTAGGCATTCCCGCAGTTGGTCATACGTTCAAAACAATTTAGTTAGTTAATGAACCAGTAACTATCAAAGATCACGATTTCCCAATTAGTTCAAAAATGAAACTCATACCTTCCGTTTATTTAGTCATTAATCCAGCTGATTCGAGCAATACCCTTTGTACTGGTCAGCTTTTCATATTCATTAGGCCAGAATATTTCATTGGAACTTCATTAACAACCCATATAGTAGATTTAGAAAGTATCGTTTTGAATGAAGAGTTTTCTACTACTCTAAAGAAAGAAGGCAAAGTTAGACCTATTTGGATTCTTCTTGTTGATAGTGGACCTGATGAAAACCTAAAGCATATGAAAAATATTATTCAATATGCTCACCTTTTTTGTGCCCTTGATCTAGACTACTTGACGATTCGTACTCATGCTTCAGGTCAAAGTGCGTATAACCCAATCGAACGCAGTATAACTTCTTTATCTGCAAAACTTGCTGGTATCACTCTACCTATAGGGGAATTCAGATTACATCTAAATAGTCAAGGGAAGTAGTAGATGAAGAATTAGCACGACAGAATTTTGAATATTCAGAAAAAAAACTACGTGATATATGAAAAAGGGATGACATACATGAAAAACCTGTGATGGTGGAATATATCGACCAGGAGAGACATCTATTCAATGATCCTAAGCTTTCAATATCGTGAGAGTAGATTGAGGATCATATGCAGATGTGTCGCTATTCACTGAATATAAGAAAATGTAAAAATAATGAATGTTGTGGTGTATATAGATCTCCAGATGCTGCCATCCTTTTAAATGAGAAT